GAGAGAAAGAAGAATTACAGAGGATTTTATTTTTTAGAATGTTTTCAAAGTCTGCCTCGATATGAAGTCTCCCGATAATACATTTCCCTCTATAACGCTATTCTTAATCAGAGAGTAAGAAAAATTACAGAGGATTTTATTTTTTAGAATGTATTCAAAGTCTCCTTAAAACGAAGTCTCCCCATAATACATTTCCCTCTATAATGCTATTCTTAATCAGAGAGAAAGAAGAATTACGGAGGATTTTATTTTTTAGAATGTATTCAAAGTCTGCTTTGAAATGAAGTCTCCCGAAAATACATTTCCCTCTATAACGCTATTCTTAATCTGAGAGAAAGAAAAATTACAGAGGATTTTATTTTTTAGAATGTATTTGAAGTCTCCTTAAAACGAAGTCTCCCGATAATACACTTCCCTCTATAACGCTATTCTTAATCAGAGAGAAAGAAGAATTACAGAGGATTTTATTTTTTAGAATGTATTCAAAGTCTGCTTTGAAAGGAAGTCTCCCGATAATACATTTCCCTATATAACGCTATTCTTAATCAGAGAGAAAGAAGAATTGCAGAGGATTTTATTTTTAGAATATATTCAGTCTCCTTAAAGTGAAGACTCCCGATAATACGTTTCACTCTCTAACGCTATTTTTAATTTCGATGTAAAAATATTCTCCATATGACGTAGTGGTTATCCTTTACAACGTAATTAAAGACGTTTATCTTTCGATTTTGATGTTGTAAGAGAATTGCAATTAAAATTTGGAATTTCTGTGAAATTGACTCGCTTATACATGTACACTGCATAAAATCTAAAAGATGTCAACCAGAATAACTCTTGTTCTAATAATCGGATATTTATAAAATTTGTGCCGATGATTATGGTTCAAAAGAGCAGCCTCAAATATGATAATTAGTGACTGCTAACTAGTAATTAAGTTGCAGAATCAGATACAAATACATACTTCCTCTGTAAAAACATACATTTTTTTCAATGAGGTTGACTTTTTTACTATCAAAATGCACAGGTTGCCGCACGAACATTTTACACGCATTGCCATAAATGTTGTTTTTCGAACTATAGTTTCATGTAAAACAACCTGCAATAGTTTGTTTTATAATTTGATTTTATTGCTTTATTTCATTATTTTATTAAATAAGTGTCGAAAATTTTTTAAATCGTAGGATATATGAATTTCTACATTTTAAACTATGTAAATTTGATGACTTGATGACAAAATATAAAAATCGAATAAAATTGGTGGAAAAGTTCTTGGGAAAAACCTTTTATCTAATACATTTTGAAAAAAATGTTTTTTTTTTGTGGAAGTTTTTTAGTTCGGAAACTATACGAGCAACTGGACAATGTTGCTCCCCCAATTTTTTGGCAATATTTTGGGAAAGACGCGTTTATCTTCCAGCAAGATAACTGCTTCATTTGCGCATCGAGACTTGCGCAGCATTGGTTTTGTGGAAACAGGTAATTTCAAGTTATAAACTTTAGTGTTTTAGTCTTTTAAAGATTCGTCTCCAGGATGAAAGTGAAGAGAAGTCAAGAAATAATCAGATAATCAACGTGACGTAAGACATCGTGTTCTCTAAAAGAACGAATAATTTTTTTCATGCATGAATGAACAGCCCGCCCTTCTTTTTAGTCTTTGGCCGATGGTCTGATATCCATCATAGGATTAGGATTGTAGATGATGATGATGATTCTGTATATATTTATTCAACATTACGATTTTTAGATTTAAGTTAAGCATTTAAAGTATTAATAAATGTAATAAATGCAAGAGCAGAAACACACAGAACACCTTCTTCGCGGGACCCGCCATTTTCACTAATGAACTCGCTCATGCACAGATTTCCGCTTCACTGCGCCTGCTCCTTACGTAAGGAAATTTTGAAGTTCCATCTACATTCTACGATCTTATCGATAAATTATTTTTCATTAAATAGTTATAGCTGTTTGTAATAGCTATATTATATTCGTTTACCCAATATTATAAACCAGTAAAATATAAAGCTATTTGCCTCTAAACGTTCAATATTTTTTATTAAAAACCGCAGTTTTGTAGCAACGTGGAGCTAAAATGTATTTCCTTTTTTAGAGTCGAAGTTCCTTAGACAAAAATTCGCGTGGTGCCTATTAAAGCACAATACTTAACTGCAGTATATACGGACCCGAGATAACTCACGGATAGTAAGGAAATGATGGTTAAAAACAGAAAGTGGTTAAAAACAGGAAATGTTAACAAAGAAAAAAATTATGAACTTACTTGAACAATTTGCTCGAAAGAATGTGCTAAAGGCAAATAAGATATTGAAACATCTGATTTAGTAAACGCAAGTGACCCCTTTAAAAAAGTTTTAAAAATACATTCATGGTATCATAAAACATATACTGCAAATGACAACTTAGAAGTATTTGCATAAAAGAAATGTGTCATTTAATGCATCTTAAATTCAACCTATTATATGCTTATGTTATTCAACTGACGAAAAAAGAGGAGGGACCATTTTTGTCCATTTTCAACAAAAATGATGATTCAATCACCATGCGTTGTATTTTGATGATTACTAAGTTTTGACCAATCCAATCATTAACATGTGATATTGATTGGTCAAAACTTAGGACTTCAACTACTATCTAACAACATTAGACAGTAGTTGAAGTTCATTCTGACTTCTAATAATATCGCAGAGCTGTGGTGGCCCAGAGGATTGAGCATTCGCCTTCCAATGAGATGAACCGGGTTCGAACCCCAGCGATGGTGGGTAGATACGAATTCTACATCCGGTTTGCACCAAACATAGTGCTGACCTGAAATATTCTCAGTTGTAGACGGATCATGGGTTAGAGTCACCTTGCCCTCAGGCTTACCGTGGGATATTTTCGTGGATTTCCTCTCCATGTAACGCAAATACAGCTTAGTTCCATCAGAAAGTCCTCCACGAAGGCAAATTTCTCCCAATGCTCGATCCTGGAGTTCTCTTGTTTTCCGGAGTGGGTTCAAAATTACAAGTCTAAGTAGTTGAACATTAGTTAACACAAACTGGGTTGGCTGTTCAACGATGGTTATGAAATAAAATAATATAAACAACGCGGAAAATCTGTCTTCCCCGAGAGTTATTACATTTTGAAGATGGGTTATAATGGGGAGAAACGGATCCCGTCCACGCCTTAAAAGAAAATCAGAGTTAATAAAACGACTGTAGTTCTGCTGAGGAAGTTTTGATTGGAGAGGAATTTCGAGAAAAAAATGGTCTTTGTCCATCCCGATTTTCAAAATTTTTCCCAACATCAAAAATTTCAAAATTTGATTGAATTTTTTTTAGAGGATGTAAATAAATGTATATTTTTATTCAAGCGATATTCAAGTATGTTTGTATTCTTATGATGTCAGTTGTATACTAGCTTCTGAATAATCTCAAAACTTAAAACTTTTCGTTTTGCATCATTTGCTTTCATGGGCATAAGCAGTTTTTCCTCCTTGGTTTTCAATTCATATTAACTTACAATATTGCAAAATATGTTGCGTCATTTCCCCCCCTCTTTAACTAGTAATGAAAGTAGAAATTTGAGTAAAAGTAGTAGAAGTTTACAAAATTTATAATCCCGCAGTAGACTGATCACAAAGACACGGTTCTCAGTAGAACATGGAAATCAAGCATCACTGGTGGCTGTCAGTAAGCGACCACTGTGATCAGCCAGCGTAGTGACCAAGGGTGCACGGTATCGTTCCTCGTTAAACTGTTCTACCGTCAAGAAATCGATTTCGCGTGCAGGTAGTCGGGCTACCAAAGCAGGGGATCCCTCCCCTCTGCAGAGGATCAAAATTGCGATGACATGTCTTCCTATTATCCTCAGAGATGTTTCCCTGACCTTCGCCAATGGGCCATTGTTCAGCTCTAGTCCGACTTTAATAAAGTACATACCTACCTACAAAATTGATAAATTAGCAGAGGTACTAGTAAAAGTACGTATTTTTTACCTGTTCTTTTATTACTTGTGAAAAAGTAACGAGTATCAAAATTATTTATGCGTATGTTTTATGGGTAGTAAGCATAATAAAATCGTATATTTTTTTTTCTAACGTTGTTTGAGAGCTACTACATACGCATGTGATTAGGAACAAGAGTCAAAATTTACTGAAAAAAAACCTAACTTTCCAATTAGAGTGATCAACGACAATCTGCGGAATTATAGACAAGTATTTTCTCACTCTTTTAATATTAATATTCCGTATTTATTACTCGCAAAAGTAATGTAATTATAAGGGTTACACTCGGAAAGTTTAACAAATCTAATATACATAATTCTCTTACGTGGCTCCCAAATTTTGGCTGTACTTCCTTTCCTCTGGTGGCAACGTTTGCTTTGTTTTTATTTACGTTACTATTTCTCTTACACGGAGAGAAAAAAAAAGCCTCATTACAACTCCCCGAATAGCAACGCTAGAAAATAGACCAATGATTGCCGCTAAAAAAGTCACATGCCTAATCTAACTGAGGTGGCTCAACATATAGCGCTTTCAAAAACGGAAACTGAAATAACCAGAGAGCATCAACTGCGGCAATCTCATACTATTAAGTTAGGCGGAAGTGAGCAGTCTTTGTCGATAGATCTCTATTTTAGTACTTTGTCGAAAGCGCTTTTTTTCACGAATTTATATATTACGAATTTATTTGACAATTTTTGATTTATATCACGAATTATACTACAGCACATTTCTAATAGGTTTAACGAATTACATGTCATTTATTTGAATTCAAATTTATTTTAATGACTTAGTATTTACAAAAAAGATGCAATTTTTTAAAAAAAAAAGTTTTTATATGGATTTGAATGATTGTCTTGAATTCTTAGAATTTTGTGCATTTGCAATGTACCTAAGTCAGTAGCGAGAGAAGCGAGCTTGGTTTGCCAAGAAAACCATATAAGATTGCGTAGCAATCTTCGGGGGTTGGCGAGCGTTAGCGAGCAAGGGGCGCAGCCCACTAGTATTAAGAATAATATTAAGAATTATATTATTTGAAACTTTTAACTTCCTTTTAGCTTAAACTTAACGTTCAAGCTAGCAAAACCTCTTACTAACGGAGGTGTTGAACAAAAAAAATTTTTTTCTTGATTTTACTTAACAACTTTTTAGCTACGTTTCTTGTAAGATAAATTGTTATTGCAAAAATAATATTTTTAATATTTAAGGTAATCATAACTTCTTAACTGTTTGCATTATTAATTAGTGCTTAAAAAATAAACGATACTTCATTTGTCTAGATTAAATAGAAAAAAAACAGTGTTCAACATGAAAATAAATGCAAAATAAAAATTGTACTTTTCCAATTGACTTGTATTTAAGGTTATTTTAATAAGTGTGAAATATATATAAAAATAAATCTTCATTTGTCAGTACAGCAACGACAGGTGCATAAATAATTATGAGAACAAATCTGCGCTTTTTGTTCAAAAAAATAATTTCTAAGCACTTAGTCTTATTGCTTCATGTTTTGCTTTATTCGATACCGTTAAAAATTACATCGCTAACAATTCCCCATTTCTCTTCAAAGGATTGAACTTTATTGCAACCGTTTTTATACAGGCTTGCTCATTGTCTAAAGCCAAATAAACATTAATTCTTCGATGAAATGAAGGTTTTGTAGATAAAAGTTATTTCGAATAGAACATTTTATAAACGTACTAAAATAATTATGTATTTACATAACAAGAGCTTAATTAGTAATTTACGCTAATTTAGTGTATTTTTGGTTCGAAAACTTTGCCCAACTTCATTTATGACAACTATTAAGTATTTTGGCTTAACTCTCTTCAACGTGCGAAGTAGCATTAGTACGTACTTTTTATTTATACTTTTATTACTTATAAAAAAAGTAGCAGCACTTATGATTAATAAAAAGTAAAAGTGTTAAATGTCTATTGCTGTAGCATAATAAACATAGGGATATGTGCTTACCATTTCTGATAACAATCCTCCTGCAGCTGCCATCCAGTTTTCATGAGTCAATATTACACCCTTAGGATTGCCAGTGGTACCGCTTGTATAACATAATTCAACCATATCTTCAGGATGTGGTTTCTAAAGAGACACATCGGATTAACATTTTATGTAGAGTGAGCAACAAAAAGAAATTGAAGCAACTTAATAACATTTGATCTAATGATACATTAACTTAAATGAGAAGATCAAAGCGGCTTTATAACTTTTGATCTAATGATACATTAACTTAAATGAGAAAATCAAAGCGGCTATATAACTTTTGATATAATGATAACTTAACTTAAATGCGAAATTTAAAGCAGCTTAATAACTTTTGATCTAATGATACATTATAATCTTAAATGAGAGAATCAAAGCGGCTAAATGACTTTTGATATAATGATACATTAAAATAAATGAGAAAATTAATTTGAGTAGATGAAACCTTAAGTTTTGAAATCAGACATAGGAAAGTACTTTCTCTGGTAAACTTTTTTTGACAGAATTTAATCCTCTCTCTTGAACCATACTATTGGAACCATATTTTCAAGATTCTGAAATTTTGAAAATAGGGTCCCAATAGTTTAGTTATGAGAGTCGGTCAAACTTTCAGCCACTTTATGTTCGTTTTTTTACGCGCAATTGTAAAATTCGTTTACTTAAACAATAATTAATTATAGTAATAATTACTTATAGTAATAATTAATTATAGTAATAATTAGTTATAGTAATAATTAATTATAGTATTAATTAATTATAATAATAAATGAAAAATTTAGTTTTTAAAGATTATTTATTATATTTGAGGGTCCCAGGTGTCAATCATAAATTTCCTTGTTCTACAAATCATAACAAAAAGAATAAAATCAATCACAGCGTTTAATCACAAAATTTGAAACGAGCTTAATTGAAAGAACATTTTGTTTTAATCAGCCAAAACAGGAACTAATCGTTAAATGGAATCGTTCATTTCTTAAATTGGTCTGCCCATATAGAAGTTTTGATTCCCTGTAGCAAACAGATTCGGCCAGCGTTAACAACTGTAGAGTATCTACCACTACAAAAATATGATTCCAATTCACTAGTATATAAGACACGTTTACTCGATCCTTTTGGGGATCACCTTACCTCTTCATAGAAGAAGGCTGACATTGTCGATAACTACACTATCCCCCCATTGGTGATCCGGACGTGATGGGGACATATCTACCTTGACAGAAGCTCCCCCTTCGAAATGAACACACCCATCTTGACAGTGACGCCCATTTCAATTTGAACACGACTACTTCGATGGATAGCCTACATTGATAAGATGACTTGCTACGTGTGACTGCGACGTTATCCAACTCCTCGAGCTGTTACTACTCAGTTTCGATCACTCATAACGTGTAACGTATTCACTCGACTGATAATGGCAACACAGGAGCAAACACGATCGTGAATTTAAAACAGCTCTCATGATTACCAGTCAAAACTGCAGTGATCTTAATACAGCTCTCCCGGCTTTTCACAAAACAGCAATGAATCAACTAGTGGTATCCGTTCATCGAATTTTATCACAGATATAATTCTGGTGGGGGAGTACTGTAGTGTATCTACCACTACAAAAAATATAATTCCAATTCACTAGTATATAAGACATGCTAACTCCATCCTAATAGGGGAGGGAGTACCTTTTCATAGATGAAGGTTGACATTGTCGATAACTACTCTAACCCCCACACCAACCTAAAAGACGCAATCTAGCTTTTGTGATATACCATTTTAGTACATTTAGGCAGTGCATGTAACCGATAAATTACTGGTCGAGTTGATCTAGCTTATTCAAATTACAAAATGTAATTTATTAATATATATCCCTCTAAACAACTTCCTTCTAAATTGGTTCATCATTGCTTTTCTCATTCTACAATGCATCCCAGCAGCAAAATAAATTGGGTCCTCATTTGACCAATATTCACCAATCTTTTCTAAATAAGGGTTTCGATATTGGCCATATATTGAATTGTCCGATTCATTCGATATTTTACGGCCATTTTACAGCCAATAGCGACCCTATACCCATTTATCCGATTTACCCGATGTTTTATATTCATTATTCATCCAATATAGGCCCTATATTAGACCCATAATGGGTGTTATTGGTCCTATATAGGAGCAATATTGCAAAATCAAGACATCCTAATATCGGTCCCTCAGTCCATGTTCATATAAGACCCATATTGAGCCAATTACGAGCCAAATTGGGGCCAAGGTAAAATTGTTGCTAGGTATAATACTTAATCATAAATGTGCCTTAATTGGTATGAATAGTAGTAGTTTGAAAATCAACTTCGTATTCGTAACAATATGTTATGATAAAATAACAAAGTTATTGTTACATAAGATGAAAATTCGTAAGAACTTGAGACTTGCCTTTCAATTGAAAGTAAGTAAAAAATCTTACTAGTTATTTTAGTAGGAGATTAGGAAATATTTAAATATTTTATTAAATAATTATTTAGTAAATAATTTTTTATTAAATAATTTTTTTTATTTAATAATTTTTTAAATACTTTTTTATTAAATTTTTTTTACTATCTAATTTTTTATTAAATAATTTTTACTAAATAATAATTTTTTTAGTAAATAATTTTTTATTAAAAAATTTTTTTAGTAAATAATTTTTTATTAAATAGGTTTTTTTACATCAAAAGCACACTTACTTTTATTGGATAAGGATTCTTTTTGCCTAGATCCTGAAAGAAACGGAAAACAAAATTGATCCTGAAAGAATCGAATACAACAAAACATTTGTTCTCCAGTATAATTTTTAAGAGTATTAATGTAATAAGAAATGACAATGACACTTATCAATATTTATCCGAACTGACCATTAGGGCTCTAGGCAATGGGCTTTCTAATGTTTATTAATCCGAGTGCTAGTTAAACAAAGATTAAATGTGCATGCCAAGCACATTAATATACATGTATTACATTGAACATGGAAGCAAATTTCAGAATATAAAAAAAACTCAAATTTCAAATATTTGAATAAGGTGTTAAGAAAAATTTACTTTAATCTCCCTTGATACTCAAAATCTTTTAAAAAATATGCAAGCATTTACAGAATTAAAGCAAAACAAATTAATAAATCATTTTGGCGAATTTTCCAAATTCAATTGCATATAATAATAATAACACCGACCGGATTGCGTAGTGCTCAGGAAACTTTCCTTGTATGAGAATAAGGTTCTGGGTTTGAATCTCGGACAAGGCATGGATGTTTTTTCATTCTCTGTGCTATTTGTCCTTGCTTTGGGAGAAAAGTTGGCCCACCTAATATGATGCCCCTGAAAGAGTGGCTAACAAATCTGCCCTAATATGCCTGAATTGACGAAACGACAATCCAGGCGGGCATAGGAAAAAAATAATAAAAAAACGACAAATCGGTCGTTTAATTATAGTAGTAAAACTTAATACCACATTGGGGTGCTGTACCTATTTGGTCGGTAAGTACTTTGGCCACGGTTTGAAAAAAAGCTTCGCGTTTTAGATGTGAGAGTGGAACTTCTTTATATACTGCCCAGTACATATAAAAAGTAAAGTAAAATAAGCAACAGCCACCAGCAAAACTAAATTTTTGACCTCTTCCATTCCGCGATAATGATGCTTCATGGCCCACGGCATCATGTATGAAACAAATCATTCCGTCATAAGCATCCAAGGATTGCACGAATGTGATGGAAAGTTTTATTTCAATTTTTAGGTCCCGCAATGGACTGATCGTTAAGACACGGTTCCCAGCAGATCACTGAAGTCAAGCATCACTGGCTGCTGTCAGTGTGCGGGTGGGTGACCACTTGGATCAGTCTGCGTGGGGTTCTGGAGTGCGCAGTATCAGTTCTCGTTTAAACTATTCTATCGTGAAGTACTCGACATCACGCACAGGCCGTCGGGTTACCGAAACTGGAATGCCATCCCCTCTGCAGAGGATCATCAAAATTGTGATGGTATGTCTTCGAATCATCCTCAGGCATGTTTCCTAGACCGTCGCCAATTGCCCATTGCGCAGCACTAAGGAGACGTAAATGAACTGCAACAACAATCAATGTTTAAGCAGCATTAGATAGTACTTGAAGCCCGTTCTAATTTTAAATAATGTCTCCAAGAGGGTCGAGTTTCAATATGCGCTTTCAGTTCCAAGTATTTTTTTCCTTATCTGAAGTATTTAAACATGTAAACAGCAGCATATGTGCGGCTCTTTCCGGAGAACTGAGCAATGGAGATGTGAATTACTGAGCTCTGGGTCTCTTGTTTCTATTTTGGCTGTGTGGGAAAAGGATGGAATGCTTATTTGTTTATGAGGGTGTAGATTCGTCATTTATTGTTTGCTAAATAATATTTCGTACGTTCTGGGTCAGTTTTGCAATTGCTTTCTTAAATACCTTGAGCAAATTATTACAGTATATCCAGGCACTATACCTTAAATAAAATGTAAATTTTAGCGTATCAAATTGCAATAATGATTTTATATGAAATTTTAAGTGAAATGAAATTAAACGCCCGGTTCCGTGCATTTATATGTCCTAGGATCATGCTGGTTTGGGGAAGCATGTCTTTCTCCCTTCACTGGTTCTATAGGGGTTACAATTTTACAACTTTATCACAAGAAAGCTATGTCTTACCAAAACACTTTCAAATGAATGAATGCTGACGTGCTTCTCTTCTCCAAGTAATTTGACTTCATCGCTCAATTCGGCAGTACATATTATGGCCTCTAAACTTGGTGTATCATCTTTTTTGTCCAACAAGATTTTAACTTTCTTTTCATCATCACAAACAATGTATTGAATTTTACCTAATTATAAAATTTCTTTTTTAGAGAAATATTTTGAGAAAGAGAAACTGCTTTTACACTTGTTAAATTAAAAAAACAAACTGTGAAGAAAATCAAAAATGCTGAAAGTTGACTGCATATTCGGTAAAAGACACCATGTTCCAAAAATGCAACTTTTGATGAAAGCAGATCTTAGACTATTTTTACCTTTAGAGTTTGGCATTTTTTTTTCGTCATTCATCATGACAGAACAAAGTGTCCCGTACCACAAGAGGGAATGACAAATCTACAACATGGGCACGGTATCAACTAAACTTTATAAATAAATGGAGATGGTGCAATCCTCTGACTTACAGATATATAACTCTTTAAACTAAAATAATAACATGTTTGTGGTGAAAAAGATAATGTAGTTTCTGACCACCATCTTAGAATTTTTTCTACCTAAGGATTCATTTTTTTCAAAAAAGCAGAAAGGGACGATACAAGTATTTCATTATCAGTATTTATTTAGACCAAACAAGTATGTTTGTCTACCATAACAAATTTATGTTTGGGTTTAATGACAATATTGTGCTTTCTTCGGATCTTAAAACAATAGATAACAGTGAGAAATATCCACTTGGTCGTAATAAATATCCCAGATAGCAAAATAAGTTTTATTTTCACTCAGCAGAAACCTTTTACTGTGAACCTAAAAAGGTTTTTCTGTGGTTTGCGTGTAAACCTTCAGATCTTGAAACGAGATCTGTGACAATCTGCTCTATTCTACGAACATTACCCTAATCCAAAACCTTGGAAAATAACCTTCTATATAAAAACCTTAAATCGAGGTTGTCTTAGGGTTTTCAAGCGTGAAAAAAATCCTTGAATAAAGCTTATCTTAAGGTAAAAATAATCTTAAATCTAGATAATTATAAGGTTTCTTTTCGCAACGTCTTGTATGCTCTGCTAAAATCTACCTTGTCATGAAATTTCAATGGGCAATGGAATTTGATCCTATCGTTAGTGTGACGTCGGCTAAAACGTCATTATGGACCTAAGTGACCATTTTACCTAAGTCACAATACTTTTTAAAAATAATTTTTAACCCTTTTAGGATGAAAGGTTTGAAACTGCAACCAATCGTTTTGCTGTATTGAAAAAAGGTTTTTAGCGCAAACTTTTTCTTGACAATGATAAGAACATTCTGACACAAGGTTACTGTAAGGTTACATGCTTTCTGGGATGTACAGTCCGCAAAAAAAAAAAAGATATCACCCTGAATAACTTTCGTTCTAATGATCGGATTTTCACGAACTAAGTGTTAATCTTAATGGTTTCTGGGGGTGACCTCAAATATGCTAATTAATTAGTGCTAACTATTAATTAAGTTACGAAATCAGACACAAAAACGTACTTTCTCTGAATAAACATATATTTTTTTTTACATATTTGGATTCTTAACCTTCAAAATATAGGGGGTAGCCGCAATCTGGGAAATATGGTCCCCATAGTTTGGTCAGGAGAGCGATCCAAAGTTCGTACCCCTTAATGTTAATTTCACTTTTTACGTTTTTAGTCATATTTTAAAAACTAATAAAGCAATTCGAAGAAAATTTCACCCAGTCATAAAACTCATTTACCCAAAGATAATTTCACGAAAAAAATAATTTTTAATAATTGTTAATTATTTTTTATTATTTAATTAAATTAAGGATGAAAAATTTTTGAATTATAAGGTATGAATTTTTTTATACCATATTAATCTACATATTTTTCAATTGAAAAATCTAAAGTTTCAACTGTTTTTATTTATTAGAAGCTGAGAAAAATTAAAATTAATTATTTTTAAAAAAATAATTTGGCGACAATGAAGAAATGATTAAATGGAGCGATTAATATTAAAATGTGATAAACTTGCGAGGAACTTGACTTCGCGCGCTTAGCATAAAATTTCATTCATATTTTTTTCGCTAATAATCGTTTGCTTATCTTTTCATTTTTATTTTTTTAAGCTATAAAATACGATGTTTCTTCTTTAGTCGTCTAAAATTCTATTTGCAATTTAGTAAAGAAATTTGAATAAAACATTTTATTGAATAAAATACATTTTATTCAGAGAATGTGGAGTTTTATAAAAGCATGCTTCTGATAGAATATGATTATACAACAGATTGTGCTTCTTTAATGTGATTTTTTTTTATTTTTTTTTTCTCAATAACTGATAAAATTTCAATAATATACATACGAATGAATAAATTTGGAATAAAATATTCATCAATTTCTTGAATATATATTTTATAAATATTAATAAAAATACGTAGTCAACATTTTTAAGCATCTCTCACAACATCGCAAATTTCTCAAAATCTTATAGGGTAAACTAACCAGTGAAGGAATACTTAAGCTTAGCTTGTCTTTAAAAAAAAATCATAAAAATTTCAAAATTTGTAATTTTAGCTAAATGACGTATTTGTTATTAAATGCATGTCGACATATTTGTTATTAAATGCAAATTATGTAAAAAAAATTTAGATAACTTACATAATATTGTTTTAAGCTTTTGGTGGTTTAAATAATAAGTAGTAAGATAACCAAGTGAAGGAACAGTTCTTAAATTGAATAAACACTAAATTTTCCAGTGAATGAACACTTAATTTTGAGAATGTTTGATGCTCGTTAGGAATCCTTAGGCCACACAGATATCTGTCGCCCTGTAGATGCCTGAATTGACGGATGTTAACACAGGCGGGCATTAGGAAAAAAAAATCTTTTAAGTTTTCGTGCCCCCATTTCAGTATCTTAAGGGCCTTACGAGCTCTGTTTAAAAAGAGAGTATCATATCAGATATATATATATATATATATATCTGATATGATACTCTCTTTTTAAACAGAGCTCGTAAGGCCCTTAAGATACTGAAATGGGGGCACGAAAACTTAAAAGATTTTTTTTTCCTAATGCCCGCCTGTGTTAACATCCGTCAATTCAGGCATCTACAGGGCGACAGATATCTGTGTGGCCTAAGGATTCCTAACGAGCATCAAACATTCTCAAAATTAAGTGTTCATTCACTGGAAAATTTAGTGTTTATTCAATTTAAGAACTGTTCCTTCACTTGGTTATCTTACTACTTATTATTTAAACCACCAAAAGCTTAAAACAATATTATGTAAGTTATCTAAATTTTTTTTACATAATTTGCATTTAATAACAAATATGTCGACATGCATTTAATAACAAATACGTCATTTAGCTAAAATTACAAATTTTGAAATTTTTATGATTTTTTTTTAAAGACAAGCTAAGCTTAAGTATTCCTTCACTGGTTAGTTTACCCTATAAGATTTTGAGAAATTTGCGATGTTGTGAGAGATGCTTAAAAATGTTGACTACGTATTTTTATTAATATTTATAAAATATATATTCAAGAAATTGATGAATATTTTATTCCAAATTTATTCATTCGTATGTATATTATTGAAATTTTATCAGTTATTGAGAAAAAAAAAATAAAAAAAAATCACATTAAAGAAGCACAATCTGTTGTATAATCATATTCTATCAGAAGCATGCTTTTATAAAACTCCACATTCTCTGAATAAAATGTATTTTATTCAATAAAATGTTTTATTCAAATTTCTTTACTAAATTGCAAATAGAATTTTAGACGACTAAAGAAGAAACATCGTATTTTATAGCTTAAAAAAATAAAAATGAAAAGATAAGCAAACGATTATTAGCGAAAAAAATATGAATGAAATTTTATGCTAAGCGCGCGAAGTCAAGTTCCTCGCAAGTTTATCACATTTTAATATTAATCGCTCCATTTAATCATTTCTTCATTGTCGCCAAATTATTTTTTTAAAAATAATTAATTTTAATTTTTCTCAGCTTCTAATAAATAAAAACAGTTGAAACTTTAGATTTTTCAATTGAAAAATATGTAGATTAATATGGTATAAAAAAATTCATACCTTATAATTCAAAAATTTTTCATCCTTAATTTAATTAAATAATAAAAAATAATTAACAATTATTAAAAATTATTTTTTTCGTGAAATTATCTTTGGGTAAATGAGTTTTATGACTGGGTGAAATTTTCTTCGAATTGCTTTATTAGTTTTTAAAATATGACTAAAAACGTAAAAAGTGAAATTAACATTAAGGGGTACGAACTTTGGATCGCTCTCCTGACCAAACTATGGGGACCATATTTCCCAGATTGCGGCTACCCCCTATATTTTGAAGGTTAAGAATCCAAATATGTAAGAAAAAATATATGTTTATTCAGAGAAAGTACGTTTTTGTGTCTGATTTCGTAACTTAATTAATAGTTAGCACTAATTAATTAGCATATTTGAGGTCACCCCCAGGAACCATTAAGATTGACACTTAGTTCGTGAAAATCGGATCATTAAAACGAAAGTTATTCAGGGTGATATCTTTTTTTTTGCGGACTGTACTACTTTTTTCTCAATGACTGCTCTTTTTACATCATTTCAGCATTTGCGGCCTGGCATGAAAGGGAAAGTAATAGATTAGCATCAATGGGTTAGTAATGGATTAGTATAGTGTCTTGATAATTCTGAAACCGGTTTTAGTCTATAATAAGTAATGGGTATACAGATTCTCACATTAGTAAGTTTTAATCTGTAAGTATAAATGGCAAAGTTCGCTTTTTTGATCAGTTAGTACAAAATACTGAGCTGTAGAATTTCATGAAAACTGGATTGTGGAATAATAAAAAATAATATTTAAAAGAAATGTAATTAAAAAATTAAAAAAAAAATCGTGAGATGACGCTTTTCTCTAAAAACCAGCCAGACAGATCACACTAGACTTGAATCCTTGCTTCTTTGGTTGAGGGGATAATTGAAAGACTTAATCGACCGTGATATCCCATAACATCTATTTCAAAACTTGAAAATAGCGTGGGTTATAATTGAAAATAGCATATATAATGTGCGTAACATTTTCAAGCATACATAGCTTTCAACGATTGCACAGAGTACAAAAAAAATAAACATGCCACCATGAATAACTTTTGATTTAAGGATCTTAAAAATTACGAAAAAATTGTATATTTTCCAACTCAAAATTTATTTTCCATTATCATTAAATGAAATGATAAAAAATGATAAATAATTGCTGAAATTTATTTTTTTCAGGGAATTATTTTTGAATAAACGAATTTTACAATTTCGTGCAAAACATTTCTCAAATCGCTTAAAAGATTCTCGAGATATGCCAAAAATTAAGCGAAAAGTAAAATAAACATTTAGGGGTTCAAACTTGGGATTGAATAGCTCTCTTTACCAAACTATTGGGACAAATTTCCAAGTTTGCCCCCTCCCGTATTTTGAGGGCCATAAATGCCAATACGTCAAATAATGGTGCGGTTATTCAGAAAAAATATGCTTTTGTTACTGATTTCTCAACTTAAAATATCGTCTGAATTAATTAATCAGCATATTTGAGGTCATTCCCTCAACCTTAAGATTGAGTCCTAGAAGTGAAGATCCGATCATTACATCAATTATTATTCAGGGTAGTTCAATATTTTTATTTTGAGCCTGTGCGCGCAGATTTGTAACAAGCAATAGTGGATCCCATATTGCGCAAGTTTCTGAAATGTTGCATATTATTTATGTTAGTCACACCTGCTTTCTATAAAGATACGATACTCCAGCCAGTGCTAGATTTTTTGGGGGAGAGTTTTGGTCTTCTGTACATATGCCTATGCGTGTATGTACAGTTTTCTTAAGGTACGCTCATTACTGATACAGTTACTTACTTAGATATAACACTGCTTAAATTTATGACAACAAATTACAAAATGCATCATATAGTTAATAATAAAATGAAATCAATTTTTACCATGATTTATCATGTACGAACTTGCATCAGGACCAAGTGTATCGTAAAGAGGAACTATTGGTGTAGAATAGTACAGACAACCATACATTGCTATGACCCACTGAAAATGTAAATTATCTTAGTGAAAGCAATCACGTGTAAGCACGATATAATTATGCATATGATACGAATGAATCGTATAAATTAAATATCAAAATGAATACCTACTTCTACTGAATTTTTGCCATAAATTCCTACTTTACTGAGTTGTCCAAGATCCGCTCCTATGTTAATTAGACCTGATCCAAAATTGATTGCTTTTTCTCTAAACTGAAATGATAATTGTAATTATGAAAAGAATGATTTTATAAAATCGAATTCAGAATTATATTCTGTTGTGGTTGTTGTCGTAGGCTATTTAGGAAATAGGGGCGATTGCTCTTGTTTTCCAGTGGCGCCATCTATTGCAAAGAATTCGACTTCTGCCTCACCTGTACGCCACACTTGTTTATAGAGTAAACCCATTCATTCATCCACAGATCGTAATTTTGACATAAGCCGAAGAATGATCTACCTCCAATTCAGTACCCCCGAAGTATTATTTTTTCTGGGGGGGGGGACTCATTATATTATAGAGGACTCTATGACCCGACAAATTTAATGTGCACCAGTCACTGTTGACTAAACGGGGAGTATTCGGCCGGCTGGGTTCGAACTCCCGTTCTTACGAGCGTGAGTACAGCGCCATGCCAACCAGGCTATCCCGGCCCCAGAATTATATTCCACTTACGTATTTTACTTTTTTAAAATTATGATATTTCAAGCATATTAACAGGAAAATTTTAAAAAGATGGTCTTTTTTTTTAAATGCAATCGATACTTCATGCAACATACGTTTTTTATGCACAAAATCTTGATTGATCAAAAATATTAGAAAGATTTAATAAGTAACATAACATAATTGCTATAATTTAAGGGCTGTGACCTAGAGATAATTATGAAATGATTCTTATACTTTTTCTTTTTCTGAATATTATGATAAGCTAATATCTTAATAAAACAAGTTTTTCAAGAAATAAACCATAAATAAATAAATACTAATCCTTGAGTTTGATACACTGACCTAAATTCTAGGTTTTGATATCAAAATAACTTTGAAATAGTTGCGAAGAAGATCCATTATTATTCTCGCTACAACGGCTAACCGTGTTTAATTTTATGTATTTAACCATCCATAAAAACATCCATAACCATCTATTTAACCATCCATAACCATATATTTTACCATCCATAGCTGTCTACTTTTTCAAGTCTTAGTCTCTGTCGTGTGGGTTGGTCTGGGTCCCTGAGGCCAAGATGGCCCTTCACCCCTTCATCGTGAAGTAAGGATCGTTGAGGTGAAGCACTGAGGTGTCAAGCATAATGCTAAAGTTGAAGTGGGGAGAAAATGGCACATTGCCATGGTGCGGAAAAGCTGTGGTGACTTGAAAAAGAGTTGAGAGTAATCGACAAAAATGACAGGTCTGTGCTTTGCTTTGTCCACTGTGCTTTGCTTGAGGAAAACATCTCGCTGTTTTAAGATTACTTATCTCGAATTGATAATTAACATCTCCAGTCTCCACTAGTAACTAAACTGGTGAGGACCCGAAGGACAATAGATGTTAGTAAAGCCAGAGTCCTACTTGCGAAACATGCTTCGACCAGTCAGTTTCAAAAGCAAATGGCCGCCATTAACATGTTGGACAGGCCTAAATGCTACTAACGAAAGGTCAATGCAATCATCACGTTCACGTACGTCGAGGCTAAACAAGTTACTACTGCCGCTTAAACGGTGTGTTCACGTTGGCTGGATTTGAAAACTATTTCATCTTGATGTTCTGTCTTTCAAACATTGATCAGTGATCGACGTCGCAGAAGAACTGCAGTCATCAGGCTTGCATCAAACGCTCACAAAGAGAGGAAGAGATCATCGCTAAGGCAGGGAGGTGGTGACGACTGGCTGGACGGAACTCATCGTTGGTCATGCCGCTGACTGGCGACCGAGCCCCCGGCTAGGAGAACTCGCAAGGCACGTCCATCTCCTAAGGCGTCTTCATCACAACTTTTTCAAATAAATGAGAACACATTATGGTAAAAAATAAATAAAATAACTCGGTATACAGTACCTATGCCAAATTTGCTTTTACTGTTAACTATCGCGTTTAGCTTTATGCTGTTAGCCCTCCATTAAAAAAACTTCTATAACCATCTATTGAAACATCCATAAACATCTACTTTTTTGAATATAAGAGAACACATTATTTTGAAAAAAGAACATTGATATATCAGTATACAGTACCTACGTCGATTTTGAATTTTCTTGCATTTCTATTTCTGAACTATAAAAAATTTCGGTATAAAACTTCAAGGCAAAGCAGTTAACAGAGCTTGCCATATTAAAAGACAATAGATAAACTTACTTCTGAGTAAATTAGCCAAGAATATTCCGAAGGGGAACTTCGCCAGCCAACACAGTGACCATCTCCTATGACAAAGAAGTATTAAACATTAGTTATCCAACAGATCCCTTGGAGAATAACTATGCAGAAATTCTATCCAACTGCCACGTGTCATCGTTTTCATACCTATTTTTATCGAATTCGGATACTGGATATGCAGCAGTGAAAGCTGAACATTTTTCCTGTCTGTTCAGCTTTTAGAACAAAGAACTGCATATTTTCCTTATATTGAAATGGTAAAGTTGGGCTGAAAGAATATGCATATATATACACAAAAATAGAAGACACTTTCAGTTTTTGAAATTTTTTTTAAAATTTTTTTCAAGATATACTTAAAAGACCATTTTGCAAAATTAGAAGTAATTAGTTCAGGCGATTTTTCAATAAGTTTGAAACTTTCAAAGATTTCAGAGATCTGCAATAAATTACGAAAGAAAATAAATAGTTTTGAATATCCCGTGGCAGAAAATTAAGCTATGAGTTTGTACTTTATAGAGATTACTTTGGTTTTTATTTGCAATAATTGAATAAAATTTAATAAATCAAAGCTTAAAAATTTATGGAGATATAAACAATTTAATAAAAAACTAATTTTCTTGTGGTGTATTTTTTGGTCCATAACTTAAAAAAATATTTTAAAAAATTAAGCTAACTTTTTATAAGTAATTAAAAAATAATTACAAAATTATTATTTTTAAATTTGAACAAAAAATCGTTAAAAATTATTTAAGTTATGACTATTTAAAGTAGTGATTTTATACTGAGCTTTGCGAGGGAAAAATAAATATTTAAAAAAAATATATTTTTCATAATTTTGTAGTGAATCGTATTTGGCAACTAATAAAGAAGTCTTATTAGAATATCTGTCAAATTTAAAAAGTTTCAACCAATTTTTCTAATCATTTTTTGTTCTTTCTAAAAGAAAGCTCAAAATGGTAAGGGGTTTTCTTCAAACCTCATTTTGTCCTATTAAATAAGATTTATTGAAACTGACACCGGCATTGTGGGCTTCTCTAATTAAAGACTGTTTTCTTTTGCCAATTTCTCTTTTTATACCATCACTTTTTGGTGTCCGGACAATTATTATAAGGTATTCTCATTTTTTATTAAATTTTGTCTTATAGTACAAAATGAAATTTGTGGAAAATCCCTTATTTTGACCTTTTTTCTTTAAAGAAGTACAAAACTGCGAAGAAAATTGCTTGAAATTCTTTACATTTCTAAGATATTCAAATAAGATTTTCTTAATTAGTTGCGAAATACGCTACACTGAAAATATGAAATTTGTTTTTATGAAAATTTTTCAGGGTATGAGCAGAATAAAAGAATTACTTTAAGTAGTCATATCTTACGCAGTTTTTAACAAATTTGTTTTCAAAATTTGAAACAATAATTATGGAATTAATTTTTAACTGTATGAAAAATTTTGTTAAATTTCACAATATTTCTAAAATTATAGCAAAAAAAAAAAAAAAACTTAAGACACAAAAATTAATTTATTCTTAAAAATGTTCATATATTCATACATATTTAAGTTAGGTTTATGACATTTTATGCGCCTATTGCAAGTAACAGCCAAAGTAATCGGTACATGTAACAAGTTTATTATTGATTTTCTGGCATAGGGTGTACAAAAATGCTCCTTTCCTTTCGTAATTTATTGATCGTCTCTGAAACTTCTTTAGGCCTTAAACTTTATTGCTAAGTATGAAAACTCGCATAACTAATAACCTCTAAAGTTTCAAAATAATCTTCGAAGTATTTCTTGAAAAAGAGAAAAAAAATATCGAAAACTGAAAGTGTCCCTTCCATTATTGTTAGGGTAGTGTATATATATATGGTAGTCATGTGAGCAGGACAAACAGGCACAGGATTAGAGGATAGAAATTCAAGTGACACAAAATTGAAGAGCTCCTCAATAAAAGTTCGGGAAAATCTTGCAACATAAGTCCGTAAAATGTTTCATTTCAGGGAATAAGGAAAATCTTAATAATTAAAATTTGTCTGTTAAATAGGTCGAGGGAAATTAAGTTTTCTCACACTTAGTTACAGAGATAAACGTTAAAAAGTTAATTAATGCATATTTGAACTAAAAATAGATTAAAAGACGGGATGTTAATATTAAAGCGTTTCGCCATGATAAATAAATAATAAATTGTACATCATGATAAATATATATATATATATATATATATATATATATATGTATATATGCATGCAGACTAA